ATAGGGCTGTGTGTAGCTCAACTGAGAGGACTGGGGGAGGCAGGAATGTGAAGAACGCGCTCTCGTGACTGGCCCCAGGCTTGGGCCTGTAGCAATGCACTGGCCAGGAGCTAAGGGGGAAGCAGAGAAAGCAGGAAAGGAAGGGGGGAAAAACCTCTCTGGGCTTGCTCTCAGATAGCAGGGCAAGGGCTGGTCGCAGAGGCTGCAAGCTGAGCAGAGAGGATGCTGGGAGCGTGAGCTCTGTCCAGCCACCATGGCTGAGGACTCCTTGAGCCTGGACGAAACCTGTCTGTAGCCTTTGCAGCTTGTCTCTGAGACACCCCTCTCAGACCTCCCAACTTCTCACGCAGCAAGCAGCTTTCTGTCGCCATCTGCATTTTGGCTCTGGTGCTCTCTTTTTCACTCTTTCAAGATGATTCGCTTTTTCTCTCAGAAATTCCTGATCTGTCTTTTTCTGTCTGGCCACTCTATCTGCCACTAGACTCCAACCTCCTGAAGGGCAGGAACTATATCTGCTTCTGTGCAGCTCTACACGTACAGGTCTGCCATAGCACCTACTCCACTGCTCTGGGCAGGCGCTCCACAGATCCCTCAAACCCAACATGTCCAAACGAGATTCATGAGAAAAAGAAGACCCTCCCCCTGGCCCATGGCCCCCAACCACACCTTTTCCTCTGTTCCTGACTTCAGTTAACAGCCCCCTCATCCACCCAGTTGTCCAGGGCACAAACCTTGAACTCATCCCACTGCCCCGATCTGCTCTGGCCTCACCATCTCTAGTTTTGCTTAACGTCTCCCACCCCCATTCCCGATCTATTCTTTACTCAACACATAGAGTAACCGTCTGAAATATAAATCTGACTCTCTGACTCCTCTGTTTAGGCCTCTTCAATGGCTCCCCACTGAGCTCTGGATAAAGTTCAAATTCCTTCATGTGACCAACAAGGCCCTTCATGATCTGGCCCCTACCCGCTGCTCCAGACTCATTTCTTCCTGTCTGTCTGGCATTCTGTCTGCAGCCAGACTATGCACAGTTCCTCAAAGCACACGCCTCCACGTCTCCTTGCCCTATTCTCTTTTCTTCCTTCTGCCTGCCATGCTACTCATCCTTCAGGACCTGTTCCAAATGCTGCTTCCTCCACGAATGCCCTTGTGACAATGCACCTGCGTGTCCGGTAACCACTTACTCCCTCTGCTCAGTTCCACAAGGCTTTCTGCTTTCCCATAGCGCTTACATGCAATTGTGAAGATTTCTGCATGTGGCGTACCCCTCCTCCAACTCGGTTGTGAGTTCCTCAAGGGTAGGGAACATGCCTGATTTAGCGGAACCCCTGAGTACCCAGCACAGGGCCTGGCCCTGAGGAAGGTCACAGTGAGTGAATGAGTGGCCCACTGGATGGGAAGGCTGTCACCACTAACCCTGGTCATCTTCCACAATGGCTGTCTCTGTGAGTGCTGGACTCCTGGCTCCTGGGTTCAGAATCCCCAAGTGACAAGAATATGTTGTACAATCAAGAAACACAAGGAGCCCTTACTTGGTAGCAGAGCTGTCCCATGTAAAAGCTCATGCCTCATTTTTCCCTGTGACCCTCTCAGCTACCAAAAGAGTGCCAGGAGCAGGGTGACAGAGAGAAAAGAATAGGAAGCCATAAAAGTGGGAGCCTCATAGGCCTAAAGTATAAACTTGGTTCTGACACTTACTCACTGTATGACCTTAGATAAGTCATTTCATTTCTCTGGGCCTCATCTTCATGTGTCACATGAAGATAATAAAACCTATCATGCAGACTGTTTGTAACAGTCAGACAAGGTCCCTTATTTGTAACCTGTAAATTCCTGTGTAAATGTAAAGCCTAACTTGCTTGTGAACTAGCTTTAATTCTGTCATGCCTATCATGGGTTGGGGGTTAGGGTGGGAGAGGAGGGCATTTAATATCACTAGAATGGGACTGCAGAGTGACAGTATGTCACACCCATCAGTTCATCTCCTAATTTCTATAGCCACACAGGGGCCTGCTTTCTTCTTCTCCCCAACTCCTTCATTCTTTCTTTTTATTCCCTTTTTGTTGACCACTGAGAACTACATTGACTTGCTTAGTTCAAAATAGGTCCACTGTGTAACTCTGTAGGGGAATCTCACAGCTGTCTCTCTTGATTGGTCTTTCTCCTCTTTTCACACTTATCTCATTCCAGAATTTTCCATTTCCCCCACGCGAACATCCCTCCAGGGTCTTGTCAATGAACACCCAGGGGTCACATCCTACCCCTCCTCTCTCCTGTGACCAATTGTGGGTTGAACATTCACCAGGTCGTCTTGTGGTCTACAAGGGTGGGTCTGACCTTTAGTCATTTTAGGGTGATCTAGGGCTGAACCTAATCTCCTAGGATTAAAACTCATTGTTATCTGCATCTGGTGTGGCAATCATTGTTCAGGGGATAAGAGAGATTAATTACAAAAACTGTGACAAACTCTTTTCCTGATAACCTTTCAGTTGGTTCAGAGGCTGGCTGCGTAGAGGCAGGAGAATAGATGAGAAGACCCTTCTATCTCCAACAAGAACCTTTCTTTCCTTCTTAACTGTTGAGTGAACATTTCTACTAATTTAGCCCAAGCCACCGACAGTGCTTGTTTGAACTACTGCAAAAGCCTCCTAAGAGATCCCCCTGCTTCTATTCTAGCTCCACAACCCATCCCCCACACAGCAGCGAGTGAGCTTTCTGAGGTGGAAATCAGATCTTGTCGCTCTCCCACACTGCACCCTCCGCTGGCTACTTACTGTCACTTGAATCTAAGCCCACACCCTCACCCTGGCCTTCAAAGCCCTGCAGACTTTGCCCCTGCCTTTCTCTTCAGCCTCTGCTTAGAAGGTTCTGCACCCCAATCGTCACATTGCTGGCTCCTTCTTGTCATTCAGGCCTCTGCTCAACGTTCTGCTCCCCTGAGAGACCCCCTCCGACCACTTTTTCTAAAGCATTCCCCCTGTTCCTCCTACCCTATCACTCTCTACCTCATCCTGTTTTGTAGAGTTGCTCCTTTTGGGGACGCCATCTTTGTGCTCTCCTTCTGCCCCACTACAGCTCACCACTGTCTCCCAGAGAAAAGCTTGTACACTTGTCTGGAGCCCTGATTTTTTTCCCAACTGCCTCAGGTACCCAGGGGACACCTCCAGACCACCTGGCTCACTCTGGTGGGGGCCCACAGGACTGTAGGTATTTGCATACTTTAAAAGCTGCTGCCCGAGGGTCTGACCTCCAGTCAGCCTGCATCTAGGTGCTGACTGAGACCCTTCCCTTGGTGACGCTGGCTGTTCTTGGCACTCTCGACTACTGGGCTTTTTATGATCACCCTGAAGGAAGGAGAGGGATGCCATGCTGTAGTAGGACAAGGGTAAAGATCTGCGCTCCATACTTGGCCTTTTCTGATGGGGGTGAGAATGGAGCTCATGGTAGTTGACAATTGTAGGCAAACTATTCTCTAAAAGATTTCTGTCTTGTTAGGCTTTGCCCTTTCCTGGCCCATTGGCTAGAGAGAGCAGGCTCTCCCTGAAGCTTTGTTTGTTTGCACCTATTTGTGTTTCCAGGTTTCCAGTTTTCCCAGCATATAGTCTGGAAACCCACTGCCAGGTCATTCTTCAGGTTCAAGGTCCTGAACTACATTCTCTCTAGTTTTCAGAGTCTTCTTATGTTTGTTTTATATTTACATTGTTCATAAATTTTAGTTGTACTTAGTAGGAAGAATAGGGGAAAAGTATATCCACTCAATGTTGTTCTGAAAATGGAAGTTCAAATACATTGTTTTATAAAATGTATTCCTTGCCTTAGCCAGGGTGATAGCCAAGAAGAGAAATAAAAAGCAGTTTGATGGGCGGGGTTGGGGGTGGGGGGAGGAAGAAGAAATAAAACTGCCCCAATTCACAGACAACATGATCATCTATGTACAAAATTCCAAAGAGTCTATAAAGCAATTTTTAGAACTAATGAGTTTAGCAAGGTCCTAAGTTACAAGGTCAATATCAACACATGGAAAACAAATCTTATTTCTATGTACTAGCTATGTAAACTTAGAATATAAAAATGATTTTGAAGAGAATACCATAAAAATACAACACAACAACCTTCGAGAATTGAAATACTTGGAAATATTACAAAGCACATATAGAATATATATGTTGAAAACAAAAAAATGTAATGAAAGAAAGACCTAAATAAGCGAAACAAAGTTTCTCCTTTTGGTCCTTAGTGATGTCTGAAATTTCCTTATTTGTTCATTTGTTTACCTGTTTATTGTTTGTCCCTGCTCCATGAGGACAGGGACCTTGTCTTGATCATCATAGTGCTTTGAAGACCATTGGCACTCTGTAAATATTTGTTGAATGAATGAATTTACAATGTGCTTTATCATTTTAAAGAGTACTTTCAGGTACGTTAGTTTCTCACAAAGCCTGTGAAGTTGAGATTATCACTATCTTAGTCTTATGCAGGCAGAAAATGAGGCTCAAGAGGTTATGTCCAATGTCACATAATAAGTAAGTAGAGGTAGGTGACCCTGAACTTGAGTTTTCCAATTCTAAATATGTACTGCTCTTTCCAGCAGCACACCTTGCCTCTAACCTGGTTGATGCTATACCAAGGATGGTATGTGCCAAGGCAATGCTCAGGGATTCTTTGATAATCCTTATTTGCAGGCCTTGGGACAGTACTGTGACCTGTGCAGACTCTCCAATCCCCTGACATGGGGGCGCTCCCCATTCAGTGAGAGTGAAGTGAACCAGAGGAGTCAGCCAGTGGAGTGGAAGAAAGTATTATGGAGTGGGCAGTCAGGAGTCTGGGCTTCTGATCCCACTTGCTCCCTACTTGTATTTCATTTTCCGTTGCTGTGGGCCTCAGCGTGTCTTTCTGTAAAATGGGTCGCTTGAACGTGCTGACTTCAAAGATTCCTTACAGTTTTGATTTTGCAAGGGTCTCTGCAATGCCTGATTTCTCCTCTGTTTCCTTTGCAGTGCTTCCCGTTGCGGCGGGGGAGGAAGAATGCCGGTAAGTGTGTGAAGTGGGGCACACCGGTGGCATGCTATGGGACCAGGTTCTCAGTGCTCCTATTGGGTGGCCCATTAGATTCCTGGGCGGTACAGCCAATGACCTAGATGCGGAATCTGAAGACACTCTCTGTCTCCCTCTAGTGGACTCCTCCGTCTTTGCCTTTTGAAAACGAACGAAGGCGCATGCACAGCTTGTTTATTTCTCCGAGGGAGGGTTTTCTCTTCTCAGGGAGCCAGGGGAGGATGTCCCTGAAGAAGCTATCAGCAAGTGGCAGCCGCCCATATGCTTCCGTTGTTCTCAGAGGCCTTTTTTCCATGGGAAGTGTATCAGGGGTGGGAGGTATGCTGGGAAACAGGACAGGTAAGTGGAGGAAAAGAGACTTGACATTTGAGAGTCAGTGCCTGTGGTATCCCCACCATTTGCTTTATCTGGAGGGCTTCCAAGGGGCTTAGTTAGGACTGAGGGGATATATGTGGCCTTTAGGGAAAGAACGCCCTCCTTTTTCTCTCTAACAAGTTGCTTTGAGCCTGACTGCCTGTCTGCCTTCTGCCTCTGGTGTCGCACTTGGGTGTGGACACGTGGGTGGCATTCTGTCGAGGAGGACCCAGTCATCTTGAGGAAGATGACTGCTTTGGGGAGGAAGAGAGAAGGATACTGGCCAGGAACGAATTTACTGCCAAAGAACCTGAACTCCCGGCATCGGCTAGGCTTGGCTGAGGTCATCTAGGCCACCCTCCTGGCTCTGGCCCGACCTCAGCCGTTCCCATTGGCTCCAGTTTTTCATCAGGATGAGTTCACGACTTGAATGAGGTGGCTCCTAGGTGGCAGTTACGCTTGGGGGTCATGTGGAAACAGAAAAGCACCAATTGACAAGTGGCATGCTAAGGACCTATGCAAGGTCCCCAAGTAGTTGGAGCTGGTTTGGGCAGTCTCACCACGAGGCAGAGAGGGGATCTGCTGAACTCCCAAGGACTTTTCCACCCGAGGACCCTGAGTTCTTGGGTGGTGGCTGCTAAAAAAGAAGAAGCGCCAGTGGGGCGAGGCGTTTATTTGCATTGCCATGACAGCAGATGAGAGGGGACCTATTTTGAAGCAGGAACACTGCTTTGATCAGCACACAGCACACATCTGCTTCTCCACCCCCCGCCTCCTCCCCCCACCACCATTCCAGGGCTTCTTGCTGAGCACAGTTCCTGCTTTGCAACAGAGACTTCTGGGGGCACAAAATCTGTGGGCTGCCCATCCTGGGGGAAGGACAAACTTCTCTATTTCAGAGACACCAGCTGCAAAGGCTAAAAAGAAACCCCTAAGGCCCTGAAATAGTGACTCCCCCACCCCCACCTCGCCAGACGAATGCACTTGCAGCTGCCAAGTTGCCTCATTAGACTCTCTGTGCCAGGCTGAGTAGCCAGTGCTGAATCCTGGGAGGGTGGGCACCAGGTGGCTCACAGAGGAGTGTCTTTTAGGGGATGGGGCGAGGCAGAAGCGGTTGCCACCTACAGGGCTGAGCTGGGACAGGTTTTGTGCTCATTCTTTAGGTTTAAGTTTGAAAATGTCTATTTAAGGGCAAATAAGAACTCATTGTTTCAGGCTAATCCAAGGACCATCAGGCACAAATTAGGAGTTTTGTGGATGTGGCAATGGAAGCAGCAAGGCACTGGGGATCAGGGGGCTTGGATTTTAGCCCAAACTTTATTAATGATTCACTGTGTGAGTCCAGGCAAGGGACATCCTCTCTCTGGATGAGTGTCCACATTTATCAAATGGAGCAATTTATTGCATGGGGCTCTTCTATGGATCATAAGAGACAATACATTAAAAACAAAGTGCTGAACAACTGTGATTAGTTCTGAGATTTGGCTCAGGGAGGGAGCAGATCTCTGGATTTGTTTTGTGATTTATTTGTGGACTAGGTAATGCCTTCGAGTATTTCAAAATTCAAAAGGCACAAAAATAAAGCCTCATTCCCGTCTCTCTCCCACGCAGCCATCCTCCCGGAGTCGAACGATGTTACCAGTGTCTTGGGTCCTTGATGAGTTCAGAAGGTCTAAGGAAAGTGAGCCAGACAGCACTTTAGTGGAGGCTGGAGCTGCCCAATTTGGGGTGGGGATAGGGTTGAGGAGAGCGTGCAGAAAGGACAATGGAGAAGTTACTGTGGGGCTGCGGTGGAAGAAGCATTCGTTGTGGGATCAAGAGGCCTGGGATCCAGTTTTGACTGTGCCATTCATGGTTGAATGATCTTAAGAAACTCCCCCTCTGACCCTCAGTGTTCCACATGCCCCTCGACCCTGTTGTGTTGGTGTGTGACATTTTTTACAAGTTCCAGAACAGAACAGACATAGTGGAGGAAAGGACCAAGCAGGGACTTCTTAGAGAAGAAAAAGCTGTGACACTCACTCAAAGCTGACATGTGATTTGCATATGTGATCTTCTTGCTATTAAGATCAGTCAATCAAAGGTTCCTCTGATACGCTGCTGCTTTTGTCCTAATAGGTCTCATTGACAGAGCAAACCTTTGGCTCTGTCCTCAGAGGAGAACTTGAGCAATGTCCAATGAGGCCCAGGGGATGACCCAAATGACCTTTGACGGTCTTGCTGTCACGATGCAAGAATCCGCTAGCACAGTGTTTTCCAAATTTCCCTTATTTGTGAACCAACTTCACAATTTTTGCCATCACTTCATCCGATGCCATTATATGCTTACGGGTTTTCTTTAAGTCAACCCAATTTTGAACAGTAACCTCCCTCTAAGCTGTAATACCTATGAAATCAGGCTTTGCGACACTAGTTACATCTTGCCCAATACATATTGAATTCAATATATGTTGATCACAATTTGACATGTCAGTGTATCACTCCATGTTTCGTGCATATAATAATACCAAGCATTGGAAAACACAAACCAGGAGGTCAGGAGGAGGTTCAGGCATTTGGGGCTCCCCACATCACTTCATACTTTTTCCAAGTCCTCGTACCAGCTGTATGACCTTGGCCCTGTCCCCTCCCCTCTCTGGGCCTTGGTGTCCTCAACTATAAAACAAATGGTTTGGTCTACATGACCTCTAAGGTATCCTGCTGCTCTGAAACTCCATGGCTCCCTGACTTCCAAGCCCCACACCTCTACTGAACCCATTAGCTCCCCTTCCCAGCAGACCACAGAGGTGAGGAAGCTGCTGACCTCCCCGCCCCCCCCCCCTTTGCACCAAATCCTCCCAAGGCCCCTTGCTCCCAGTGCACAAAGGTCCTTTTGTTGCCTGGAGCCTTACAGGGCTTCTCTCCAGGCTCCTGCTGAAGTGGCTGGGGCAACTTGGGGGGTAATGGTTGGTCTGTAACAAGAGCCCTGGCTCCCCAACCCAACTGGCTCCAGCCTGGCTGCACGCTTGGCCTCAGCACCAGACTCATCTATCAGCTGCCCCAGACCCCTCCCTCCAGCTCTGATGGGGCAGGGAGACCAGTTTAAAAGGGAGAAAGTAGAAACAAATACATTTATTTCAGTGACTACTGGGCATCACTTCGAATGCTTAGGAAGGCAGTAGACTGAAATACTGAGGCTATGAAAAAGATCAGAATAATAATAATTCAGTTAACTTCCTTTGTTTCGAAAGTGCTGAAATAATTCTTGTAACTAATTCTTGGCAGATCTGGTCATTTAGCATTTGCTAATGCATGAAGAACATTTGCAGGGCACAGCTTATCTGGCATTTGACAGGTATTTTACCAGGCAACTTGGAATAGTAGAAAGATCTACTTCGTTTGAGGGTATCTGGAATTGATTATCATTTGAGACAGGAAATCTTTCAACCATGATGTACCGTGAATTCCAACAAGGCAAAAACACACTGGACTGTGAGTTGAGAACTCTAAGACCTAATTCCAGTTCTGACATTAACCCCTCCTGTGACCTTGAGTTAGTTGTCTCCCCTCCCTGGGCCTCAGTTTCCTTGTCTGAAAAATGTGAAGGTTGAACTAGAAGGTACCAAAGTCCTCTGTACTCTGATGCTGTGTCATCCTCCACCCCCGCCTGTGCCAGAGTTGAACTGAAAAGAGGGAGAGGTGGGGATACGTTCAGTGCAAAGGGCAATTTCCAGATGTTCTATGGGATGGGGAAAAGATTTCCATACCTGTTGAGCCGTGTAATAGCTTCTCTTTGGGGCCAGAAAAGGTTGGGAAGCCCAGGTTCCTGATGCAGGCGTGCAAAACAGAAAGTCAGGCCCAGCTTTACAGATGCACATCAGGCAAGTGTTCTGAGGCACAGCCTGGTGGGCCATTTCCACAGCATGGGCCAACCCAGAAGACCAGAGCAAGGCCTGGCTTCAATGGAATAGTGACCCAGGAGCTGGGGAAGGAGTGGGAATTGCAGGTGGAGTGACAGGCCTGGAAAAGACCTGGGAAGTGCTGTTAGACACTTCCACCACAAAGTCCCATGAATACTTCCAACTCAACACCACAGATCGTAATTCTTCATCTTTCTCCTGGAAACCTTCTCCTTTTCCAGAACTCTACTTCTTGGTTAACGCAGCATCAGCCACTCAAGCAAGAATCATGGGAATCACCTGGATTCCTCCGGCTCTCTCATTTTGCTGCCATTCCATGAAACTTCTCTGTAATGTTTCCTGAATCTGCCCTCCATGGTGGCCCTTAGCAGCTGTGGCATGGATGTTTGCTGCGGCTTCCAAACTGGTCTTCCTGCCACGATTCTTTCCCTTCCGGCCTGCCTCCCATATTGCTGCCAGAGTTCTCTCTTTAAGAGAAAAATTGACCATGTTCCAAAACCCTTGATTGTCCCTTCCCTTTGGTAAGAGTTCAACTTCTTTGCAATGGCATTTCAGGTCCTTCACAAGCTGAACGACCTATCTTTTGTGCTTCATCTCCCGCCACATCCCCACATTTCTGAGTCTCATGGGACAACTCGCTATTTTCTCTCTATATAGTGAACTCTCATGTTAGGCTCGCCACTGAGTGTGTTTTTGCCAGTCCCTCTACTTGGCCTGTCAAGC